TATGCCGTAAAACGAAATAAACCAGATCTACAAACTGATTTCTCACAAAGAATACATATATACTTCAAGGTACTTCAAGACCAATCCAATGATGAACCTATCTCTTTTGATGTAGTGTTTGGAAGCCAGTATTGGTATCTCTATATAGATTGGGGTCAACACAGATCACGTTTTTGATCAAAAGTTTCTGATTGGCATTAAATTGGATACAAGGCCTCTGGTGTTTCCTAGCAGGAATCCCAAACTACGAGAGAAATAGTCTGTAAAAAGACCTCGACATTACTGAGTTCAAAGATCTGATGGCTTGATTTATTTTGTTTTACGGCAAACTTAATGGGTTATTTAATGCCGACAAGATTTCTAGGATAGGTCCGTATGACTAGAATATGTATTCTTTGCAGAATCTGGCCTTCAAATGATGTCAGTAGCTGTACCGAAATAAAACAGAAAAGCCAGCCAGCTGAATTTACGATATATACGCAGAACCGACTTACCGAGTCGTGATAATAAAGTTAGAGTCCCTGACTTTCTCGCGACAAGATCGAACACTATTATTATTGTTCGAACTATTGTCCTCATCTTTGCTGTCATATTTATCACAACGTTTCGGCCGTTGTACGCTTCGGCCTTCTTCAGATAGTTGGTAGTTGATAGTTGGAATGTCGAACTGAACCCTTTATTTCGCACGCTGGGGTAGACTGTTCTAGTTCCACGTGCCATGTCTAATGAATATCAGTTATCAGTTATCTCCTGTTAATTCACCTCTCCAAGTTCTCCACTGCCTTAACCATGTATTGAACTTAGAAATTAAGGACATGTGTGTAAGAATGGCACAGAGGATAAATGCGTTAGTTAAATCCAGTGACTAGATCCAAAGAGTTGTGAGTTCAATACCTGATTAAGGCAGTGGAAAACTTGGAGAGGGGAATTAACAGGAGATAATTGATAACTGACACCCATTAGACATGGCACGTGGAACTAGAACAGTCTACCCCAGTGAGCGAAATAAATGGTTCAGTTCGACATTCCAATCACGTGAAGAAGGCCGAAGCCTACAACGTCCGAAACGTTGTGATAAATATGGCAATAAAGATGACGACAATAGTCCGAATAATGTAAATAGTGTACGTAATACCTCATCTCAGAAATATAAACAGATAAAGATCGAACTTTAGAAATTCCCGAAACCATATACCTTTCACGGCTGACGTTAATTTGACTGAGTTCAGTCTTTTATACTTCTTAGTCATTGCTCACATGGCGTTGCGCTTAAAGGTTGGTTTTAGCACTGAATGCTGTCAAACTTTATCGAACTTTCAAAAAATGCTTTTCACCCACGTTTTTTTTTTCTTTTTTAACCACCAACTTTTTGTTCAATTTGTAGCTGAATAAATCAAATGGTTATGAGGATATTTGTAAATATTCTAGTCTATCGACCCGTCTGCGAGATACTTTATTGATCTGGACGACAATACATCAATGATGCTAAGTGGAAGCCTCAAGCATCAACAGTTTATTTTATAAACTGTCAGAGACTAAATCGTCAGCTTTTTTTCAGGAAGAAAGAACTGAGTGGTTGTTCAAAGTTGGTAAATCCTGAAAATAACGGCTTTGTTATAATAACAGATGAGAACACTCTGAAATGTTCGTAGTGGAGCTTCCGGTGCGAATGCCAAGTAGTACAGTACGCTGTTTTCCAAATTTCTGGCGGATTGAATTGTGTCATGGGGCTCATTTCCTCAGAGACGGTGCCCAACTGACCCTACTATACTGTGCAGTCGACAAAATAAAAAAAAAAAAAACAAAAAAAACAGCGCAATTAAAAATATAAAATGGAGAAATTCGCATCCTGTATGTCACATCTTTCAAAATTTGATATACGCCTTGCCCTTTTAAGCAAATCTCCAATCAGCCAATAACAGTCGCAATTTAATGGATATACAAGGTTTTATCAATAAGTATCGGGGCTGGTGTTGTAAAAACTACAACACATATCAATTCGCCATTTAATCTCCTTCGAAATAGTCTCCTTCTGCAGCTACAAACTTTTTATCCAACGCTGTTTCCATTGATGGAAGCATTCCTCGAACTTCTTTTTTTTGTGGGGTGGGGTGGATAACAAGCAATTGCCTCGTCGCATCATCTTGGATTTCCTTGATGTCTTGAAATCATGTTCTTTTCACGTGGGATTTGTTTTTTTTTTTTTTTTTTTTGAATGAGGTAGAAGTCGCAAGAGACGAAATTTGGGGAATATGTTGGTTGTCGGACGTGGGAAATTATGCGCCTGACCAAAATGTGCTGCACAAGACATGCTCATTGATGGAACTTCTGTGGTGTGACGCCCACACTATACACACTTTCCTTCCAAGCCCTGCTAGAAGACAGCGCTATTGAGTGTGGATGTGCGACAGAACTGAAGGTCAGCCTGTGCCAATTAGTCCAGATACTTTTTGATCTGGTCTCGTAGGCATTTAAACGTGGTCATGGAAACCTACTGAATTTCATTTCATGTATTATTCTGAAAAATGTATTTAAGTGGTTTTAGATACAGTATTGTCGTCGCTGTTAGATGGGTAGGTCTGAATATTCAACAAACTGCTGATCTACTTGGATTTTCAGGTTCATCCACTCAGAGATTGGCCAGAAAATAAATAAAATCTCATTGAGTGGCAATTATGTGGGCGGAAATCCTTTGTTAGCGAAAGAGAATAGACAGTCTGGTTCAAGCTGATGGAAAGGCAACGAGTTTAAATAACCGGAAATTTTCAACAGAATTATACAAGATTGAATGATTTGTCTGATTTATCCATTCTTTTTGGTTTGCTTTGCTTTACGGTATATCAACCTTAATGGGTTATTTTACGGTGTATCAACCTTAATGGGTTATTTGATACCGACAAGATTTTTTTTGCTACTAATATTTTTTTCTAAAAATGTATTGCTGGTAATATTTTTTCTTCAAAAAATCATTGCAGGTAAGAACAAAATGTATTGGTGGCATTAAAACCTATTTTTACACTTTCAAAGTGTTTGACACCAGATTCAACTATTTACCCATATCTGGGACCCTATCAAGTGTTACCGACCCGGGTCAAGGTGGACCTGGGAATACCAGTAATTAAGAGGTGGTTCCACGCTGTCCAGGACCTCCTTCGCCTTGCTGTTGGATGTAGATTATTGTCTTACCCAGAACGCGGATGTAGTTTATCGTCTTACCCAGGACAGGGATATAGTTTATCGTCTTACCCAGAATGTTGATGTAGTTTATCGTCTTACCCAGGACGCGGATGTAGTTTATCGTCTTATCCAGAATGTTGATGTAGTTTATCGTCTTACCCAGAACGCGGATGTAGTTTATCGTCTTACCCAGAATGTTGATGTAGTTTATCGTCTTACCCAGGACGCGGATGTAGTTTATCGTTTTACCCAGGATGCGGATGCAGTTTATCATCTTACCCAGGACGCGGATGTAGTTTATCGTCTTACCCAGGACAGAGTTTTTTTTTTTTTGGGGGGGGTGCTTATTAACCTTTTTGAAGGATATTTAAAACTGAAACATTTTTTGAGTGTAAGAATATTCTTTTTTAAGGGCGGGGGTGAGATGAATCTAAAAATACATCGAAAAAGACAACGCTGAAGATGTCTGTATCACAAATCCAAGAGACAGGAATAACGTGTAGTTAAAAATCTTAAGTCACAAGTCCACGTTGTCTATATCACGACTACGCATAACGCAGGCAAAAGAACGCATCATATTCAGCCTTAAGTAACGACCTTACCTAAAACTAAAACCAATTAAGCTATCCTAAAAGCAACGGCTCTTATTGAGGAGGTAAAATTGGCGATTGGTTGCTATCATCAGGGAGAATTTCTAAAAATACCATACGTGAGGTATGCTTAAAGCAGTAATTACCCAGGATTGATTTTTTATCTATTTTCGGCAAAGCTTGAACAGGACACGAACACACACACACACACAGACTCTCTCTCTCTCTCTCTTTTTTATTTTTAAGGTAGGTTATTTACCCGTTCGCCACACGAGGTGATAATGAAATTACACAAGAGAGCATTTCTGTACTTACATCCGTCAAACCTTGAATCAAATGGACTCGAAAGTAACAAAAGACAATTCTGTCTGATACTATTTTACCGCGGTAAAACGGGAGAAATTTTTGTTAAAACATAAGAAAGTGTTATGTGCTGAGAGACATTGAAAAGAGAAGGGTTAATACCGAAAACCCGTGGAAAGAATTGAGGATTTAATTCACACATAAATTGTATCCCGAGCAGTTTGAACAATGGAAAAATAACCCAGACTTAGGCGGGGGCAATGTTGATTGACACACAGCTGCAAATGCAAGATGTAAAGCGAAAATTTCATTTTTCGTAAACAACGAATCTGGAGTTGATTCCCCTAGTCGAAAGTTGAGTTGAAATACTGAGGAGATTAAGTGAGAGGTAATACTATGAGAGAGTCTATCACGAAGATAGCTGCGACGATTTGGTCTTGACCTCCTCATGATCAAACTTAAATCACAACGAGGGATAAGGCGGGTCTAAGATCGAGGCGATCTTCATCGATCAGCCGTGGTATTGGAAGTCTTGGACGACCGGGGAGGGTCTGTACGATTACACCTGTCCTGAGGCGACAATTTACTAAAGCCACCAAAAACAAAATAGAAAATTGGAAGGAAAAAACAAATGTCTCGAATGATCGCTTTTTAAAACAATAGACATTACCGCGGACAGAAGGTAATTAAAATAATTGCGGTGTCAAGGGAAAAACGTCCTTTTGAAACTTTTTTTTCGGACACGAAGCTTAAACATTACCGATTTGCATATTACGGACTGATAAAGACGGGGTACTGAATTTATCTGCTTCGTTTGAATGATGGCAACATTAATTTTGCTGCAGACATCAGGGAGTACCTTAGACGTTAATCCGCTGATGCATTGTATAAAATGCTAACTAGAAGATGGATCCTCAGGTATTACGTCGTATGTTTTTTTTTATTATAAGCGTTTCTCTGCAACGAATGATTGGAAAAGTCAGACAACACACAACTATGGAAGACTCAAATATACTGAAAATTAAATTAAGTTTGGACTGACCTGGTTTGAGTGACATGGAAAATGAAATCCCTGTAGTTGTTTATTCTGCAGTTTCTTACTTTATTTACTGCTTTTTCTCACTCGCATTTTCGGCAAAATCTATAAAATATAAAAAGAAAGAAACAGAAAATATAAAATATTTCAAAACTCACAAGTTTTCTTTAAATAAACGAGGGTAATGGCGATTTAGGCCGCTTCAAACTACTCAGCTGCCAAACACGCTGCAGTATCCCTTGCGTAACATTCTCCAATGCCTCAGTGCGGACTTATCTCAATGAGAATCTACCAGGAAGGTGGCTCGGGCGTGCCAGTGATAATGACAAAGCGACCACGTTCACCTGATTTGACACCTTGGGACATTTAGGGGGTGCTATGTGAAAGGGCAGGTCTCTATCCCCTTCTTCCTACAAGCCTACAGGAACTTCAGCAGAAAATCACATGCGCTGGAGAATGTTACGCAGAAATGCTACAACATGTTTGGCAGGAGCTGGACTACCACCTTGACGTGTGCTGTGTCGCAGGTGGTGTGTATGTTGAACATTTGTGAAGCTTTATGAAATTGATTATAAAATCTACATCCCGTTGAATATCTTGTTCGAATTTTGATAAATAAATCTTTTATTGTTCAACATGAAGCCTATTTAATTTCGTTTGCCAGGGATATGTAGCTACTCAGATATCCACAATTTAAAATGGTGTCAATTTTCTGAGGACACACGGTATTATGGATAAAAAATGGTGGATGCTCCCCGACCAACAAAATAGCTGAACGTGATATCATTTAAATGACCGATGAGATATGTTTTATTTTTGTTATCACCTGATACTAACTCTCCAATCTGATTCGGCTTGGGTGGTGATAATCATGTCTTTTAGTTCCCGTCTTAATGAAGTGGAAAGATTATATTGAATCAATTTTCAAGATCTGCTGATTTACTATGTCATACGAGACAATTATTCTCGCAGGCGTCTATCTTACATATTCATAAGTCAATCATTTGTTCATGGTTTGAATATTAATGTCACAGATAGCTTGGCGCTCCTTAGATATTTAAACATCATACTTATTATAAAACCCAAGTTGTGTGTGTGTGTGTGTGTGTGTGTGTGTGTGTGTGTGTGTTCGTTTATATATTGGATCGGATTTCCTACATTTTTCAACCGATTTCAACAAAACTTCACAGGACTACGTAAAATTACCTTGCGGTGGTTCTGACAGCGCCAAAAATTGGAAAAACACAATTGTTTTTGCACGAAATCAATTTGAAAACACGATTAAGAGGAATCGCGAGAATGAAAGGGGGACAACTCATATCAAGTTATACTTATTTTAAAACCCAGGTTGTTTGTGAGTATGTGTCTGTGTTTGTTTATATATGGGATCGGATTTCCTACATTTTTCAACCGATTTCAACAAAACTTTTTTTGGCAGGTAGTGTTTCTTATTGTCTTGCACATTTTTTTCTTTATTTTTACATTCAGAATGCTTTAAAAATTCCATTTACAAGACAATTGTATATGATAAAATTCTACTCAATAGGTAGACTCATAACGATTGAAAACAATGTTTTTGTTTGAGTTTGGGTTTGACCAATTCGTAAAAAAAAAAGACATGCGTGTCCGTCAATTTTATTTTTCAGTCTTTATTATGGTCGATACTTGATCTATCTTTTACTGTTACATCCCCGGGAAACGCCGGGCTCTACTGCTAGTTCTTGATAAAATCCAAAGAAGTGACTGCAATGTTAATGATTCTGGTCTCACATCGCGGCTTCAGTTATTTTCCAACTGCCGAAAAGTCGCTTCGCTGTGCCTTTTCTGTAAAGATTTTCATGGTATTTTTTCTTTCCTTTATTCGTACATCAACTGGCGTTGGCTCGATAGTCCCGACTACGGTCGGATAATGATGAGGGCCTTTATTATATAATTTTGTTTTGTTTCTTGTTTATAGATATCTTACATTATACATTATGAAATCGACAAAGTCCGACAATTATTTTTAAAGACATTTTTTTATGTTTATGCTTTCTTTTTATAGATATAAATATTTAAGTAAATGCTCTGTTTTATTCAGGCCGGTAAATGTTAAGACTGTTTTTTATAAACAGAGCATTTACATACATATCACAGCTTCTCAGTGCGATTAGACATCCGAATGCTTCAAGCCAGGATCGAAACCCGACCGATTTAGATCCGTGGAGTTATGGATAGCGGCTCGGATTGAGGAATCGGAGAGCCGAGTTCGAATTCCAGTCAGATCCATTACATTCACTTATGTGTTAATACCCTTGGGAAAGGTATGAACCTCACTTCTCCCCCCCCCCCCACCGTCTATGGATAAATAGCAGGACATACCGGGTTCTATAGCCTTGGATGTCATCTGGTCTACCGCAGAAAGAAATGGCAACCTATTGCGGGAAAAAATCTGCCTCGTCAGTCATGTATCAAAAGATTGGATAGTGACTCGGATTGAGGAATTGAAGAGTAGAGTTCGAATTCCAGTCGAATCCATTACATTCACTTAGGTGCTAATACCCTTGGGAAAGGTATGAATCCTCTTCTTCTCCCCCCAGCTATGGGTAAATAGCAGAACAGAACGGGTTCTATAGCCTTGGATGGCAACTGGTATACTGCAGAAAGAAATGGCAACCTACTGCGGAAAAAAAATCTGCCTCGTCAGTCATCGAAAATATACATGATCGCCTGCGCACAACTGACTGACTACAGCGTGCCAAGTGAAAAAAAAAAAAAAAAAAAAAAAAAAAAGGCAAATTTATTATCACTGTTTTATCTTTTACGAATAAGTGACCTTGAATAAATTTCTTGAATAGTCATGACTTTGAATAAAGCTGCTGCCTTCTGGTTACCACGCTTACAACTTTGTGTTGAACATTCAGGCAGACATTTCGAACATCTACGATGATCGTTAAGTTTGTGCATGAATCAGGATAGCTAAATAAATTTCTTTCTGAATTTACCGCTTTTTTTACTGGGCATCCTGTAGATTAAGAGTTAGGTCTCATCATTTTACACTGAAAATGGCGAGATGTAACCCTAAGCTCTATGCAGATAGTATCTCTCCTCGCAATTCCCGCTTGTGGAACACTTTTGCTTTTGCCAAGTTTATCTTCAAAAATTTAAAGGCAATGTCAATCATCATCTCCATTCCTGTTCTTTCTCATTGTTTTTTTTTCTTTTTCACATATTCCTCAGTAGCCCCCTTGCGTCTTAGTGGCAATACTGCCTAGCTTGGGGCAAAAACTTAAGAAAATTCGCCTTTTAAAAGATTGACTATTCAAGACTGTAAAACAATAAAAAAAAAAATGGAGGACGCTTTTGGGGTGAAATGATCGAAAAAAATATAGTTTCCACGCTCATCTTTCGCGGTTATCATCCGCTGCATGATCCCGTACTCTTTAATCTCGTCCACGAACTGAAATCACACTTTCAACAGCGGCGTTATTTGGGGAAAACTAGAAGGTGCAGGCAACCAAATCTGCTCTTACATACCAAAATGATGCGATGTTTTACCAAAGGAAACCGTATGACGATAAACTACATCCGCATCCTGGGTAAGACGATAAACTGCATCCGACAGCAAGGCCTCAGTTCAGGAGGTTTTGAGGAGCGTGCAACCACCACTTAATTGCTAGTGTTCCCAGGCCCACTCGGACCCGGGGTGGTAGCACCTGTTAGGGTCCCAGCTTTGGGCAAATAGTTAATCCCCAAACTGGGGTCAGAACACTATGGAAATGTAAAAATAGGTTTTAATACCTGAAATACTTTTTTGGAAAAAATATTACCAGCAATACATTTTTGGAAAAAAAATATTGCCAGCAATAAAAATTTTGTCAGCATTAAATAACCCATTGAGGTTGATATACCGTAAAACAAAACAAACCAAACCAAAGGAAAACAATTGCACTAGACGTGAAAATGGGAAGTGTTTTTTATGCCTTATCAACCCTTTGTAGGTTATTTAAAGACAGAAAATATATTTAGATTATGAGAATTTTTTTTTCTTTCGGGATAATAATAGCTTAGTGATACAAGTCTTAATAATTAACCCATAGCTGGGGGTTGGGATAAGAGGTGGATTCATAACTAATCAGAATTTGTTGAACAAACAAGAAATTATAATGTGGATATAAAATGGGGGATCACTTCTATACTACAATTATTAAACTGACCCCCACTATGTGGTCACTGTGGGGGCTATACATTTATATTCCATAGAATGTAAATGAATCTAAAAGACATGCCTGTATAGCTAAGCAGTGCTTCATTGATGGATTGATTAGTTTTTACGGCTGACTAACAACTTGCAGATTATTTAAAGCCAGATAATATTTTTAGATTGTGAGATTTAATAATAATGGGTCAGTGATAAAAAGTCGTACTAATTAAACCACAGCTGGGAGTGAGGAGAAAAGATGGATCCGTACTGTGGAGTTATCTACGGTTACCTCCCTTGTTAATGAATGGTATCTGCCTTTGCTATAAAAACGGAATGAGGAGGGGCAGATATTAAATCCTACGCGTTAACGTGTTTAGACGTTGAAACAAACAATAAGGACTTCATCTTCTCTAATTTCCCCCTCCTGTAATTTAATACACTTAAATTACGTCAAACATACCTTTCCCAGATGGAGCTGCATCTATTGCAAGGAAAGTTGCTTCACTGTATCGTGCCAGAAGTTATTTCTTGTCAGAGACCATCTCACACATCGACAAATCTAATATTCGTCCTTGTATTGAATACTAAACAGCAAATATAACCGGACTTCCTACTGACGGCTTTTCAGTTCATCCATATGACGTACATAATATATAATAAATATTGAGAGAGGAAGCAAAGCCAGAGTTATCGACCTTTTCTCATATACGCCATAGATGGCGTCAGTGTTTGCAAACAGACAGTGAATCAGCTTCCCACGCGTAAAACAGCGAACTTGCCATTTACACTATTAAGGGACATCAGCATACAGATAGCTTTCTTTTTTTTCTTTCTTTTTTACTAATTCTCCCATTTTACAGTCGTTTCTTTCCTTCCGCCTTTCTTTCTTTCTTTCTTTCTTTCTTTCTTTCTATACAACTATTCTCACTACTTTCTTTTCTATTTTTCTACTTTCTTTCCTTTTTCTTTCTTTCAGTCTTTCTTTCTATACAACTATTCTAGCTTCTTTCTTTTTATTTTGCGTCTTTCTTTCCTTCTTTCTTTGTTTCTTTGTTTTTCTTCTTCCTTTCTTTCTTTTCTTTCTTTCTTTCTTTCTTTCTATAGAATTATTCTAACTTCTTTCTTTTCTATTTTTTCTTTCTTTCCTTTTTCTTTCAGCCTGTCATTCTTTATATATAACTATTTTAGCTTCTTTCATTTTCTGTTTTTCTTTCTTGCTTTCTTTCTTTCCTTCCTTCCTTCAATCTTTCTTTCTTTCCTTCATTCTTTCCTTCTTTCTTTCCCTCTTTCTTTCCTTTTTTTCATTCTTTAATTCTTTAATTTCTTTCTTTTTTCTTCTTTCTTTCTCTATATACGACTATTCTAGCTTCTTTCTTTTATTTTCTTTCTTCCCTTCTTTCCGTCTTTCTTTCTTTCTTTCTTTCTTTCTTTCTTGCTTTCTTTCTTTCTTTCTATACAACTATTCCAGCTTCTTTCTTTCCTTTTTCTTTCTTTCAGTCTTTCTTTCTATACAACTATTCTAGTTTCTTTCTTTACATTTTCTGTTTTTTTTCTTTCTTTCTTTCTTTCTTTCTTTCTTTCTTTCTTTCTTTCTCCTGTCTTTATTTTTCTTTCTTTCTTTCTTTTTTCTTCTTTCTTTATATACAACTATTCTAGCTTCTTTTTTTTATTTTCTTTCTTTCCGTCTTTCATTCTTTCCTTCCTTCTTTCTTTCTTTGTTTCCTTCCGCCTCCCTGTCTTTCTTTCTCTTTTTAATTTTCTTTCTTTCTTTCTTTCTTTCTTTCCTTCTTTCTTTCTCCCTTCGTTCTTTCTTTTCTTTTCTTTCTTTCCTTCTTTCTTTCCTTCTTCCTTTCCTTCTTTCTTTCCTTCCTTCGTTCTTTCTTTCTTTCTTTCTTTCTTTCTTTCTTTCTTTCTCCCTTCGTTCTTTCTTTTCTTTTCTTTCTTTCTTCCCTTCTTTCTTTCCTTCTTTCCTTCTTTCTTTCTTTCCTTTCTTCTTTCTTTCTTTCTTTCTTTCCTTCCTTCGTTCTTTCTTTTCTTTCTTTCTTTTTTTCTTTCTTTCTTTCCTTCGTTCTTTCTTTTCTTTCTTTCTTCCTCCCTTCCTTCGTTCTTTCTTTTTTTCTATACTACTAATCTAGCTTCTTTTTTACTATTTTCTTTCTTTCTTTTCCTTTTCTGTCTCCAAACTACTTTTATGCTTTTTTCTCTTTCCCATACTAGATATTTCTTTCGAAAATATATTTTAAATGTTATTTTTTTTGTGATGTTTACTTCATTTCATTGCGTCCGAGTGGCATTATCGCCTTCCATGAGATCATCAAAGGAGTGAAATAGAATGAGAAAACTTTAATGATGAGAATTGAGGCGAAAGCGTAATAAAAGAACGGAATTCACGAGGACAAAAGATAGCGATTGATGTTACGTTTAAATTTGCGAAGATTGTAAATAGGAGAGTAACAAGAACTCGGAAGGGATTTCCACGGGTAAAAAATGCAAATAAAGAAGCTACCAGAATTGAAAATACTGTTTAGTTCAACAGAAAAAAAGTGGGACCTAGTTGCCAATCTAGCAGCGCGCTTAAATTCATGCCGTCGTTGTCCCGAGGAGGGAAACTCACCAGATCAATATCCATAAAAATTATTTGTAGGAAGACAGATGGAAGCCGCTTCATGTCGTTGAGAAAATGACAGAAATCTAGATGCCAGGTCAGGATCAATTACGGTATCATATCAGTAGTGTTCAATACGAGAACGAATGATATATATATATATATATATATATATATATATATATATATATATATAGTTGGATTGATGTTGAGTTTGTGACCCTGTGTTTCACGGTCTCTGCGATCCTTTGTCTGATGATCGTAGAGAGCGTGAAACACAGGGTCACAAACACAACATCAATCCAACTAAGTATGTTAGCTCTATCACTAATATTGAGCGCTTTCTAATAAGTACCGCTCATATATAATATATAAATAATATATATAAAAAGTGCACATATATATATATATATATATATATATATATATATACATACACATACATTTTACACCTACACACGCATACCCACACACACACATACATATATATATATATATATATATATACACATTATGAAATGGACAAAGTCCGACAATTATTTTAAGATATTTTTATGTTTATGCATTCTTTTTATAGATACAAATATTTAAAGTAAATGTTCTGTTTTATAATAAACAGTATTAACAACATTTACCGGCCTAAAAGTCCGAGAAATTTTCACAGAAAATATTCGGTAAAGGCACGTCAAGCTAAATGACGGTTCCGTATAGGATACAGGTTCGAATCCTGTCGGAGGACGGATATTTTCTGTGAACATTTCTCGGACATTCAGGCCGGTAAATGTTGTTTAATACTGTTTATTATAAACAGACCATTTACTTAAATATTTGTATCTATAAAAAGAATGTATAAACATATCAATGTCTTAAAATATATTATTATTATTATTATTAAATATAACAGACAATGAATGTCTGTTATGTCTGACCATGAGTCGTTCTAATTTTCGAATGTTTGTTTTAATTTCTGATATCCACCGTCAAAGATGATATTTTGTTATTTTGACATAGGTATGAGTTGATAACACAATAATACTCACGCATGCCCACAATAAAAAGGACCTCCAGATATTGGAGGCCATCTACATTAAAACGAAGCAACAGACACTCAACAAAATTACAGGCATAATAGTCGTTTATTATCTGTTATATTTAATAATATATATTTAAATAATGATCTGTTGCCCAAATACAATATATATATATATATATATATATATATATATATACACACACACATATATATATATATTTGCGTGTGTGCGTGTGTGTGTGTTATCAATATATATATAATGTATTATCAGCAAGAAATCTAGATGACAGTTTAGGATCAATTACAGTATCATGGCCGCAGTTTTCAATACACGTAAGAATGCTAGATTTTTATATCAGCAAGATGGGTCCTGACGAGAAGAATTATCTGCCATGACATATTGAACGAACTTTCCTAGCAGCGGAACTATCAATTGATTCAATATAATCGCACTATTTCATATCAGTGGAAACTGTAAGCCCAAGAGGGTGCAAAGATTTGCTTTCCAGGGGGTTAGCATCAGCCATTCTGATGGAAGGTAGAAATGATTTTCTATGGTGATGAAACGAAAGACGTTTTCTTTTGGAGGCATTAGAATTTACAAGGCATTCTTTGCTTAGTTAACAACTCACTGGAAGGCCTTTTCGAGAACAGTTGCCAGCCATACATTTGTGGTCAGGAGTATTTTTCAGACATTTGTATTTCTCTTTGTAATAAATAGAAAGACTCCTGCTTCCTGAAGGAATTTTTACTGCAAGGTTTGGAATCACGGATACTGCACTTGATACAAATTCTAGTATTTACTAGGTTCTGCTATGGGGTGAAATACCCAGAACTTGGGTTGCATCATTATAAAATCGTGACCTAGAGCAAATAATGGATACCTGGTTAAGACTGAAATCACTAAGCAGTAATCGATGAATGGCCAGTTAACCATTACACCACCACACAGAGTCAACTTATTTCAAAATCTTTAAAATTTATAATTATTCTCTCACATTCTGTCCCTAATTCCTTATTCCCACCAACTCTTCCCCCCTCCGACTGTTAATGGACTATTATTTTTTTTATAGAAGTGTATCTCTGCCCGGACTGCCTGAGGTTGACCTTAGGGGTCAGATAGAAGGCAAAACAAGGAAATCGATTTTGATTGGCTGAGCCAGCATGAAAACGATACAGACAGAGTCTTAACTGTCAAACAATGTAGACGTGGTTTCTTTCGAGTCTGGAACGGCTCCCCGGTGAAGGAAGAGCGACCCCACTGGATGGTTAGATTTGGTTTGGTATGGTTTATGGCATATCAGCCTCAATGGGTTATTTAATGCCGACAAAATTTTGATTGCTGGTAATTTTCTTTCTTCAATAAGGTATTGCTGGTAATATTTTTTCCTTCAAAAATCTATTGCTGGTAATAATTTTTTATTACGTTTTTCCGGTATTAAAAGCTATTTTGCACTTTCATGGTGTTTTGACCCCAGTTTGTGGGGGGAGGGGGCTAACTATTTGCCCGTAGCTGAGACCCTAACCTTGATTGGGTGAGCCAGCGTGAGAACAATAGAGATAAAGAAAGGGTTTCCAGGGAGTGTCTCTTAACCGCCATTGTAGTCGTGATTTCTTTCGTGTCTGGAACGGTTTCCCGTTGGAGGGAGAGTGACTTAAATAGTTTGTGATGTATACGTCGACGCTAATAAACTAGTCAAGTTAAAATTCCCCGTGTTGAACTTCTTTCATCTGTGACCCAAGACAAGTAGAAATCACCAGACGCGAGAGAAGAATGCAACTTTATTATCGAGCAATCAACGTTGCCCAAGACCACCGCTGGTGGGATGCTCTTGGGCGACGGTGATCACTAAAATCGACGGTGCTCAGTAACAGGACGTCCTGGGTATGACGATAAACTACATCCAGCAGCAAGTCCTTCGATCGGGAGATTGAAGGTTTTGAGAAGTATGGAACCACTTCTTAATTGCTGGTGTTCACAGGTCTACCCTGACCCGGGGTAGTAGCACCTGTTAGGGTCCCAGCTATGAACAAATACTTAACCCCCAAACTGAGGCCAAGAAACTATGAAAGTGTATAAATAGGTTTTAATACCAGCAATATATTTTGGAAAAATAAAAAGATTCCGGCAATACATATTTGAAAAAAAAAAATTACCAGCAGTACTTTTTTGAAAACGAAAAATATTACCAGCAATACATTTTTTGGAAAAAATTAACAGCAATACATTTTTAAAAAAGCAAAAATCTTGTCAGCATTAAATAACCCATTGAGGCTGATATGCCGTAAAACAAAATAAACAAAAACTGATCTACAGACTGATTTCTTACAAAGAATACATATTCTATTCATATGAACCTATCCTAGAAATTTTGTCGGCATTAAATAACCCATTGAGATTGATATGCCGTAAAACAAAATAAACCAAACCTGATCTACAAACTGATTTCTTACAGAGAATACATATTCTATTCATATGAACCTATCCTAAAAATCTTGTCTGCATTAAATAACCCATTGAGGTTGATATGCCGTAAAACAAACCAAACTAAGCCAAACTTACTATTTAAAATAAAATCTTTTGACTATTTAGATATAAGGATTTTTTTTTCGCTATTAAATGATCCAATGGGTTGATAAGCCGTAAAATAAACCAAGCCAAAAAGGACGAACCCAAAATGCAAATTGGAGACGCCAAATTCAAACAAGGACAAATAATTTAAATATCTGGAAATCGTTTTAACAAAGCATGGAAAGTACGACACCGAAATTTGAAGTCGCATTGGGATAACAAAAGATGCCTTTCAAAAGCTAAGCAAAGTTAAGAAACAGAAAAATTTCGTTAGAAACAGAAAAAAGGGTACTAAAATGCTATTTAAGATCATTTCTCCTATATGGCAGTGAATACTGGACAATCTCCTCACAGATGAAGAAGAGACTTGAAGCAAGAGAAACAAAGAAAAGAGTACTGAACTGTTAGGTAATATCAGTCCTCCTATATGGCAGTGAATGCTGGACAATCTCCTCACAGATGAAGAAGAGACTTGTAACAAGAGAAACAAAGAAAAGAGTACTGAAATTTTATGTAATATCAGTCCTCCTATATGGCAGTGAATGATGGACAATCACCTCACAGATGAAGAAGAGACTTGAAGCAAGAGAAACAAAGAAAAGAGTACTGAAATGTTATGTAATATCAGTCCTTCTATATGGCAGTGAATGCTGGACAATCTCCTCACAGATGAAGAAGAGACTTGAAGCAAGAGAAACAAAGAAAAGAGTACTGAACTGTTATGTAATATCAGTCCTCCTATATGGCAGTGAATGCTGGACAATCTTCTCACAGATGAAGAAGAGACTTGAAGCAACAGAAACAAAGAAAAGGGTACTGAACTGTTATTTAATATCAGTCCTCCTATATGGCAGTGAATGCTGGACAATCTCCTCAAAGATGAAGAAGAGACTTGAAGCAACATAAATGTGATTCGACGGAAATATATTAAGATCCCATGGATTGAACATGTGAGCTACGACAAGGTTTTAGCGAAAATGGAAACAAAAAGGAAATTTATGCTTAACATCAGGAAGAGATAGGTTGACATTTCTAGGGCATATAATGAGGAAAGAGAGATTGGAAAATCTGATACGCACAAGGCAGATTAAAAGCAAGATGGTCAGAGGAAAACAACGGATAAGATAGTTAATGGACTTGAGTAAATGGGTGACGGGACAAGACTCAGGAGAAATGGCAAAAAGACAAAATTGATTAAGAGCTACAAAGGGCAGGAAATTGTGGAGAGCCATGATCGCCTATATCTTGAGGGGACACGACACATAAAGACGAAGGAGAAGTCTTTCTTCCCTCTCTCTCTCTCTCTCTCTCTCTCTCTCTCTCTCTCTCTCTCTCCCGTATCGTCCATTGCTTGTTGTCTACGCTCGAATCATTCGATGCATTTTCTCTGACTTCTTCCTCGTTAAATATTTTCCTTTGAACTTTCTCCGCCATTGAATTTCGGCTGTTGTGCGTTCCGGCCTTCTTCAGGTAATATACGTTAGAATTTCGAACCGAACCATTTATTTCGTCCACATGTCGCAGTGGATGGAAGCGTTGGTTGAAATAATCCAGTGATTTGATCCAAACAGTTGTGAGTTCAATACCTGGCCGAAGCACAGGTGAACAACAAAAAAAAAAGAATTTACTTACTGAAATGGAGTTAACTGAAAATGAGATATCCAGAAAATGCATGGCATGTTAGACATTTTCATGACGGTCGTCCTCGGGTATAGAATCCAGAGGTTGGCAGTGAATATTTCGGAGACAGTAGGAAAGCATAGTGGAGGTTCGCAGTGGATATCACGGCAGAGTGTAGTTCATCCTTCTCCTGGTCGCCTTTGGTCCTTCCGGTAGAGGAAACAAGATGGCCGCCTTTATACACGACGAATACCGTCTTGTGCGGCTTCTGATTGGTCAACCTTCTATTGGTCGACTATAAAGGGAAATAAGTCATTCTGACTCTCTCACTAGTTATATGTAGTATATACCCCAAAAACCGTAACATGGCACGTGGAACTAGTACAATCTACCCCGGTGGACGAAATAAAGAGTTCGGTTCGAAAATCCAACGTATATCAACTGAAGAAGGCTTGAGCGTACAACGGTCGAAACGTCCCGAATATGACAATGAGGACAACTGTCCGAAGAGTGTAAAGATCTGACGTTTCTTCAGTTTTTGTGAAGTCGGTTGGGTTGAAAAGTTTTCCTTAGAGTAGGTACGTATTTCGAGAGTCGGAGAAGGATTTCCGTTGAAAAGGCACTATTCAACTTGATCGGAGACGTACTCCGTAGCTGAGTCGGTATAAGTGTGTCGGATCTAAGGACGGTTTCTCCTATCGAGGAGGTGCGCAGTTTCGAGCTCGCATATTTTTTTTTCTTTAATAAGATTTCTCAAATATTCATAAATAAAACATAGATAAATATCCTGTTTAATAAATAAACGGAGCGTCTACTCAAATATGGGTCAAAAATTAAATTTAAACAATTAAAATTCCAGTGTCCCCTTCCCTGCGTGTGAATGTGTAGTCATTTTTTCTTCGCCATCTGCTGATTTAACAGTGGCTTGGTATACGATAAATTGTTTGTTTAACGGCATATCAACACCTTATGGGTCATTAAATAAAAATGTGATATATGTTTGTTATGGTCCGGTTCCTTGTACCACGGTGATAGTCCAAGGTAGAACCAATAAAGAAGAACTCGAACACGGATATGGAATAACACAGATATATAACAAACAGGAATATATACAGAGAGGTAGAAAAGTGTTAGTACGAACAATCAGGTTTAGTAGTAATTGTCTGAACGCGACTCTGTTTCGGACTGCCTCTGACTCGACTGACTGACTCGCTCGCTCTGACTGACTGACAGACTCCTGACGGACTTCACTCCAGACTTCAGACTGAACTCCCTGCTTCCTCTTGAGGCGCAGTATTTATTACGTATGGAATAGTCCATTATGTTATTATGGGTAAAGTCTCGTAACAATGTTATTCTGCTTTCACAATTAAATACATGGTAGATGATACACAACTTTTATGCATATACATGTTTGTGTGCACATAATTACTAAAAGCAGTGATGTGTGTGTTTTATGTTGTAGTTTTGTTGAAGTTATATTTTGGAATAGAGTTTGATTTGTTGGTTTAAAAATAACATTTAGGCAAAAAATTAAAATATGTCGGATTAATAAATAAAAAATCGATTCTTAAAAATGTATATTTATATTGGGTTGGTGTATAATTAAAATAATTATCGGACTTAGTTCATTTCATAATATATCATGTCATTTATTTACGTTAAGATACGATTCGAGCAGATATCATGGAAAATTTGTTGTTTAAAAGCAGTAATTTGACTTTTCTAACAAGACGCTTCCTCTGTAGCTAAATGGTATAGCTCATTAGGCTATATGACGGTTCCTTGTAGGATACGATTTCGATTTCTGCACACATATTTTCTATGAAATTTCTCGGACATTCAGGCCGGTAAATGTTGTTAATACTGTTTATTATAAAGAGAGCATTTACTTACATATCTGTATCTATAAAAAATAAGGTATAAACAGAAAATATATTAAAATATTTGTCGGATTTAATCCATTTCATAATATATGATGCAATTTGTTTACCATAAGATATGATTCAAGCAGATATGAGTGTTCGAGAGAAATCATGGGAAATTTGTTGTTTAAAAGCAGTGATTTGACTTTGCTAAGCAGACGCTTCCAAAATTTATATTGTATAGCACATCAGGCTATAGGAGGGTTCTGCGTAGGATACAGGTTCGATTACTGTTGAAGGACACATATTTTCTATGAAATCTCTCGGACATTCAGGCCGCTAAATGTTGTTAATGCTGTTTATTATAAACAGGGCCTTTACTTAGATATTTGCCTTTTAAAAAAAATAACGTAAAAATATAAATATACTGTTTAATAAATAAATAAAAACAGGGCATCTACTCAAATATGGGTATCCATTATATATATATATATATATATATATATATATATATATATATATATATATATATATTTGGTTGGATAGATGTGAGTTTGTGACCCTGGGTTTCACACACACACACACATATATATATATATATATATATATATATATATATATATATATATATCTTACTTATTATAAAACGCAGATTGTGTGTGTGTGTGTGTGTGTGTGTGTGTGTCTGTACGTTTATATATTGGATCAGATTTCCTACATTTTTCAACCGATTTTAACAAAACTTCATAGGACTACGTAAAATTACCTGGTGGTGGTTCTGACAGCGCCAAAAATCGGAAAAACACAATTGTTTTTGCACGAAATCAATTTGAAAACACGATTAAGAGGAATTAATGAAAGGGGGACAACTCATATCGAGTTATACTTATTAAAAACCCAGGTTGGTTGTGTGTGTGTGTGTGTGTGTGTGTGTGTGTGTGTGTGTGTGTGTGTGTGTGTGTGCGTTCGTTTATATATGGGATCGGATTTCCTAAATTTTTCAACCGATTTCAATAAAACTTCACTTTTTTTTGGCAGGTAGTGTTTCTTATTGTCTTGCACAGTCTTTATGATGGTCGATACTTGATCTATCTCTTACTGTTACATCCCCGGGCAACGCCGGGTTCTACTGCTAGTATATATATATATATATATATATATATATATATATATATTCTGTACCACGGGTCGGAATTTTATTTACGCTATTTTTTTTTTCTGGTCTGTCGCTGTGTATAAACATTCCACTTAATCTTTCCAATTGATTATTGATTTTGTTGTCACACAAAATACAATATCAATATTATTTTGGGTTTGTGTGCGTCGAGCGGATAAGGTGATAGCGGTTTAAAGAGAGCGTCTGTTTATAAAAGACATTTACACCATGGCGGTTTTGCATTCTTTAAATGTTCAACATTGTTCAATATATTGGAAGTGTTTATTCGTTCTTGGAATCTCACTGGAAATTCTTATCAAAAGAAGACTTTCTTTATTTTCGTTCCTTTGATATATGAGTATTACATCGAAGCCACACAATACTGAACATGTTATATTGAAATAAGATAGATAGATAGATAGATAGATAGATAGATAGATAGATAGATAGATAGAACTGTACAGGCTGAGATAGATAGATAGATAGATAGATAGATATGTACAAGTTGAGATAGATAGATTTGGTTTAGATAGATAGATAGATAGATAGATAGATAGATGTAAACAAAACTAGATAATGGTATCGCACCTGTTTGGTCAAAAGTCAGTTTTTAATTTAAAAATAATGTTTAATGTACATATGTATCTATAGGCGTTCTAATCGCCTTAAGATCGAGAAAGCGTGAAACCTTAGTAGCGACCCTATTAACAGTTGTGAGGTTACTTTTTAGCTTGTCTTTAAACATGAGCCACAGCCGTCCAGCAATGCCCTGTAGAGGGGAATATATGAGGACCTTAGTTATTCTGTCATTATGCATCCTTACAACATGACCTGCCTGAAGATTGCGTCCAACCTGAAACAGACCGTCGCCGCCTGTTTTTGACCAGAATGTCCACTTTTATATTTATATTTATATTTATATACTAGCAGCATGGCCTAGCATTGCCCGTGCTTGATTCAATAATCGTACGACTCATACAGCAATCGCTATCACTTGGCTTAAAATATTTTTGCCCTTCCTTGCCTTTAAAGGAGTGCCCTTTGCCGTGCGATGTTGCTACATTGCCTTACTTCTTGCCTATCTCACACTGCGATTTTTTTCTAAGCTCTATATTAAACATTAAATCTGTTACGAAAAAAGAACTAAACAAAATGAACACAAAACGATCAGCTTTAAAAAAAGACTTGTAACTGGAAAAACCGAATGAAAAAAGAATGTTAAGAACAAATACTTTTTCACACCCAACCCAATTCTGCGGAATCAGAATCAACGTTGAGTTTAAGAAAGCGAATGAACCAAGTGGAGTAAAGTGCCATGCAGATTTAAATTTTTCCCACTTGTGACGAATGCAGCTATCGATTTTTTTGCATGCTAGCATGCTAGTTAACATTCGTGTCAGTCAGCTGTTGGCTCTCACGCTGGCCAATAGAATCTTCCTGCCTATTCGTGGCAGCTCTCACTCTGGCCAGTAGAAAATGGCCGCAAACTACATGAAAACTGCCGTAGAAGCATGAAAAAATCTATTATTCATACGAACCTATCCTAAAATTCTTGTCGGCAATAAATAACCCATTGAGGTGTTGATATGCCGTAAACCAAACCGAACCATATTGGAAACACCATCACTGTTTGTAGTAATTGATTAAATATTTCTCTGTTTTCAGTTTTTATCTTAGGAATATAAACCTCAACGTGGCTCACACGCTCGGTCCATGATATCCTTAGCATCCTTCTGTAGAACCACATCTCCATCGCCTCGTGTCTCTTCTTCATCCTTG